GCGTCCATACTTTCATATCGTTGTTTATAGTTGATGGCAAGTGATGTTTTCAATTAATGAACTTTGTTGCTACACTTGTTTTTGGCACTGTCTTGCCAAGAGAAATGTGCATTATGATTTTACGGAATATTTTTACAAGGCACAATATCTTACTTATGATTTGGTATTTTAAGACTATGATTTGATATTCCAGTTTTATTATTCAACTTATATGCCTTATGCTTGTTTCCCATCTATGCCCTGCTCACGAAGCCGATGATAACTGAGTCTGTGAGACTCACCCCCCTATATTTCGCTTTTGTAGATAGTGATCAGCCTGGCTTGTATTCATCAACCTTTTCAGCCCACCGCGGATAGGTAAAGGCATCTCATAGCACTTTATTCTAAGTCACTTTGCTGGTAGAGGTCGAGTCTTTATATAATAATTTGTTACGGGATTAGACAATAGTGTCAATACAAATGTACATTTGGAGATTATAAGTCATGTATTATTTTGAGAACTATGTGGAATAAAGGTTTATTCAATTTGTAAAGAATATTGTTCAATTCCTATCACAAAGAGTTTTATGGTACAAGGAAATTTTCTTAGATTAATGGTATGAATGTGAGGTAATGACTAACGTTTCAAGTAAGGATTGTCCGGGACTTGGCGAGTTCTCCCGTGAGACTTGGATGCCGGTAGCGATTGAGGAGCGATTGTTACACACTTGAAGAAGTCTTGGGTAGCTAGACAAATTTTAAAACTGATTAACACTGGAGAAAGATCAACATGAATAAATTAAAAGAAGAATCAATCAAACAAAAAAAGGTCGGTGAAGTTGGTTGCTTGAAAAATAACAAGTTCTCAATTAGTTAAAGCTTTTTTTAATCGGTTACCACAGTGAAGCAAACTGCAAGACAAAGAAGACTTATCCGACTAAGGCCTATGGTTAACCAGTTAAAAGGTAATTGTCAAGAATTTCAAATTTGAATACTAGAAGACAAAATAAAGGTCAGACTGGTTCCTAAACAGTTTCCAACAGTTAGAAGCTATCCAAATCCATAAAAGCAGATTTTTTCAAGTATAAAAGACATTCCCAATAGCTTAAATAGATATGAAATGCTTTTAAGAACTTGAAAGAACTAAAATAGCAAAAATCCTCTTACTTCTTCTTATATTTCACTCGAATCTTTGTAATAAAGTTTACCTCATTTTGTACCATTTAGATTAGCATAGTGATCATAGGTACATCTTCATACTTTTATTCCTTGATTACTTAGAGTGTGTGAGCCACTCTAAGGGGTTGATCAAGCTTGGGATAACTTAGTTGTTGTTGTAGGTTCTATCTTAGCCTTAGAAAAGTTAGTTTTGGGTTTTAGTTGATCTTGGGAAAAACCATTATTAAAGGTTGTGGCTGAGCTTGAGAAAAGCCATTGCAAAAGCTTGGTAGAAGCTTGAGAATTTCACTAATTTTAGTGAAGTAGTTTAAAAATCTTTGATTGAAAGATCAAGGTAGTGGATGTAGGTTAAGAAGATTGAACCACTATAAATTGCTGAGCATTTTCTATTTTTATTCATCTCTTTGTTACCCCTCTGACAACCTTTAGAGTTTTCTCATCAATTTCCTTTACAAGTTTGTGATTAAGAACTAATTTCTAGTAACATCCCAAAAAGTGCTATTTACCCCTTCTTTAGCACGTTCTTTGAGACCAACAAGTGGTCTTAGAGCCTAACCCTCATTGTTTAAAGCTTAACATCCTTAAGGAAGATCCAAATGGGTCTATAAAAATCAGTTGTTGCTGAGGGAAAATCTAAAAGTAGACCACCTTTGTGTGATGGATCAAACTACTTTTATTGGAGCAATAGAATGTCCATTTACATAAGAGTTATAGATTATAAAATGTGAGATGTTATTGCTCATGGACCTTATATCCCTTTAACCATAAATGTTGTGACTAGTGAAATTATTCCTAAGACAAAAGTTAAATAGACTGAAGTTGAAACTAAAAAGGTCCAAACAAATTTCAAGGCTATTAATACTCTGCATTGTGCCTTGACTCTGATTGAATTTAACAAAGTGTTCAGCTGCACCGCTACCAAACAAGTGTGGGATACTTAGAATCATTCATGAAGGGACTTCACAAGTCAAGGTGTCCAAAATTGCTCTTATAACTCACAACTATGAAATGTTCAAAATGGAACCTGGTGTAGATATCACCAACATGTTTGATAGATTCACTAACATCACCAACTAGCTTTGTCAGATAGGTAAGTCAATCGCTAAACATGAACTTGTCAAAAGACTTCTTAGAAGTCTATTTAAGAATTATAAGCCAAACGTGACTACTAATCGAGAGGCTAAGAACTTAAATGTTATCATTCTTGATGAGATCTATGGATCACTTCTCACTCATGAGCTAGTGTTAAAAGAAGAGGAAGAAGAAGACAAAAAAAGAAGCCAAAGAGAGAAAGAAAAGTATTGCCTTGAAAGTGAGCACTCTTGAAAAAGAGTTGAAAAATTTATCATGAGCCGATGATGAAAAGTTGGCCATGGTAGCTAAAAAATTCAGAAATCTTGTATGACAAAGAGATAGTAGACTTCCTAGGAAAAATTATCGAAGTGATCAAGGTTTTTCATGAAAAGTCAAAAACAAAAATGATCCTAACAAAAAAGATGATGTAATATGTTTTGAATGCAAGAAACCTGGTCACTTTAGATTGAAATGCCCATTGCTCAAGGAGGAAACTCCTAAAAAGAACAAAAAATCAAAAGAGCTATGATGGCAGTAACTTCGTCTGACAATGTCATATCTAGTTCAGAAGTTGATGAAGAGAAAATGGAAGAAAAAGCAAACCTTTGCCTGATGGCCAAAGTTAATGAATCCGAGGTATCCTCTAATCCTTGTGAAATTTCAGTTGATGAATTTCAAGAAGAATATGAGTGTTTATATGCTGAACTTGAAAAACCTGCATTGCAGTATAGGGTCTAAAAAAGAAAGACTACATCTTTTGATGATGAACTAGAAAAGTCAAGACATGACTTTGATTCTGTTTTTGAACAAAGAAATATTCTTCGAATTAAACTTGAACATTCAAAAACAGATTCTGAAATATTGATGTTGGAACTTGAGAATCAGAATGAAGACTTGCAAAAGGCAATTGATGAAAATGTTGGTCTTAAGTTCTTAACAAAAGAATCACCAAGGAGAAATATAAACTTTAAAAGAAATTCTCATGGTTTCTCATCTAGGTGCTACATATATTGCAAACAAGGTTATCTCTCTTATGAACGCTATTATAAAAGAAAAAGTCTTCCCAGAACAAAAATGATTTGGGTGCTAAAAGGCACTCATGTTTCAATTTATCTTCAAGGACCCATTAAGGTATGGGTACCTATAAAAAAAGAGTAAAAATTTGTTTTGTAGGTTAAGTTAAACCAAAAAGGTAGATGTTTAAAGGCTTAACTAAAGGAGAAGCAAACTTGGTATAGGGATAGTGGTTGCTCAAGGGATATGACAAGGAATGAAATGTTGTTTGCTCAACTTAACAAGAAGAAAGGATGTATAGTATCTTTCAGAGATGACTCAAAAGGTAGAATTCATGGAGTAGGAACCGTTGGTAAAAACTCTCAAGCTCAAATTATCATGTTCTTTTTCTCAAAAGTTTAAAGCATAATCTATTAAGCATAAGTCAACTATGTGACAAAGGTTTTAAAGTATGTTTTGATTCTCATAAATGTGAAGTTATCGATATTAGCACTAACAAATCTACATTCATCAAAAACATAATTAAAAACATGTATGTAATTTTTCTTAGAGATCTTGAGCTAGAATGTGAAACATGTCTCCTGGTAAATGGTGTGAATGATAGCTGGTTATGGCATCGAAGACTTGGACATACAAGTATGCATACCATCTCAAAATTAATACGAAAAGATCTAGTTATTGGACTTCCTAATATTAGTTTTGAAACTAATCAAATTTGCGATGCATGTCAATTTGGAAAACAAGTTAGAACTTCATTCAAAGCTAAAAAGGTCATATCAACCTCTAGACCTCTTGAATTATTGCTTGTAGACTTATTTGGTCCAACTGACATAACTAGTTTAGGAGGCAAATTTTATGGGTTCGTTATAGTTGATGATTATTCTAGATACACATAGGTTTATTTTCTTGCTTACAAAATGATGCATTACTTACATTTGCCAAACATTGTAAAATGGTTCAAAATGAAAAAGGACTCCTTATTGTTAGCATTAGAAGTGATCATGATGGTGGGTTTGAAGAAGATGAATTTGAAATCATTTGTACTGAAAATGGTTTTGTCACAATGTTTTTGCACCTAGAATGCCACAACAAATTGGTGTTTTGTAAGGAAAAATCAAACTTTAAAGGAAATGCCAAGAATCATGCTTTGTGAAAACAACTTGCCTAACTCTTTTTAGGGAGAAGTTGTCAACACAGCAAACTACATTTTAAATAGAGTTTCAATAAGAGCCTTGATTTCTAAAACTCCCTATGAATTGTATAAAGGCAGAAAACCAAATATTTCTCGTTAAAGAAGTTTTGGAAGCAAATGCTTTCTTTTGAATAATGGAAAACAGTATTTTGGAAAGTTTGATGCTAAGAGTGATGAAGGCATCTTTCTAGGATATGCATTAAATTCAAAAGCATATAATGTTTTTAATAAAAGGACTTTAGTTATTAAAGAATCTATCCATGTTGTTTTTGATGAAACTAATGTTGTGCAAAAAAATGTTTTAGCTGGTGATGATGATGCAGAGGATCTTGAAAAACAAATGGAAAAGATGAGCTTGGAAAATAAGAAAATGGTGGAGAAAATTCTGAAGAAAAAGCAATAGAAGTTCCATCGTTTGAAAATCTACAAAGAGTTGAAAAATAACACAATGATTTTCCCAAAAGCTAGAAATATGTCAAAGATCATCAACAAGAGTGGATTATTGGTGACATTTTAGAAGGTATAAAAACAAGAAAAGGACTAAAAGAAACTTGTGAATATTTAGCCTTCAACTCATAATTGGAGCTCAAAAATTTTGAAGAAGCAGAAAAAGAGGAAAGCTGGATGTTAGAAATGTAAGAAAAACTTAGACAATTTGAAAGAAAAAAAGTCTAGATCTTATTTCCAAAGCTAACTAATCATCTGATTGTTGGCATAAATGGGTGTTTAGGAACAAGCTAGATGAACAAGGTAATGTGATAAGGACCAAAGCAAGATTAGTTGCTCAAGGTTATAATCAGGAAGAAGGCATTAACTATGATGAAACTTTTGCTTCTATTGTTAGATTAAGAGTTATAAGATTATTACTTGCATATGCATGTTTCATGAATTTCAAATTATCCCAAATGGACGTAAAAAGTGCCTTTTTAAATGGTCTTATTCAAGAAGAAGTTTATATCAAACAATCTCTTGGTTTTGTAGATTATGAGAAATTTGATTATGTTAATAAATTGCACAAAGCTTTATATGGACTAAAGCAAGCTCCTAGAGTTTGGTATGAAAGACTTTCAAAATTTCTGGTTAAAAAAGATTACATTAGAGGAAGTGTTGATACAACATTAT